GGTCAAGATCGGGGAACTTCTACCGAACCAAGTACCGGCACAGCTTGAATCCAGATCGATAAGAGCCCGAGCCATATTCAACCTGCAGGGCCTTAAACTCCGGGGAGTCCTTAAAACTCTCGACGGCCTTGTTCCTTTCTTCCGTGATGGAGGCCTCGAGGTTCGCAACCTCTCACTCAAGCCGCGCCTTCTCCTCAGTCAGCAAGGAGATCTGCCCTTCCTGGGTCAAGATCAGCTCCTTCTGGGCCTCAACCCCCTTCTTCACTCTGTACACCTCGCCCCGAGTCAGGTCCAGCTCACGGTGGATTTTCTGCACCTCCGCCCTAGCATCACGAACTTCCTTTATGTGGATCGCCAATTGGCAGGCCAGCGCGTGACCAACAGAGTTAGCCTACCAAAAGAAAATTGGGGTCAACAAAAAAAAAAGAGGTGGAGGAGAAAAACGGAACGCTTACCACCATACTGTGGCTGCCGACTAGTCCCAAAAGCCGGCTTGGGGACATCTCTGCCCACTTCACGATCTCGTCAGGGAAGATGGCACCCTAACTGCGCATGGCTTGAACATGGTCCATGATACTCTCTTTCACGATAGGAAGATAACCCTTTGGTGCAGTATCCGCCCCCACGGGTGCGGATGAACACTCTGGCCCTTGGGGGTGAGCTCCCTTGTGATGAACCTCGTCCATGACCGCCTCGGGGGCAGCAGATCGGGCCTCTTCCTAGGGAGGCACAGTGGAGGCTGGCTCCATGATTACAACTTCAGGTGAGAGATCGGCCTCCTGGCGCGATCTCTTTGTAGTCCTTTTCTTTCCCTTCTGTGAGCTCCTCAGAAGACTTTCCATATTGACCGGCATGGTAGCTGCAAAAATGAAAAGTAAGATTAGCCACGAACTAATCAGAATCTTAAGAAGGCAAACACCCAAGGCGACCTACCAGGAGTCAAGCCGGCCTGCACGAGCTTGTCTTCAGCAAGGTAGTCCAAGCAGAGGAAGCCGAGCTCCGCCCAAGACTTGAGCATCTCCCTTGTCTTCAGACCCAGTCTAACACCACGAACCTGAATCGCCGGCCTCCAATGGGTTGGGAAAGACCACCCCTCGGGGTTACGAACCACGAAGTAATCCCGTTTCTAGGTCGGGATCCTGTTGGGGAGTTCGTTTAATAGCTTATAGCTCAGACGAGGAGACAGGTAATAGGTTCTCCTATGCTCAGGAAGAGCACAGGAAGAGTTTTTCTTAATCGGCAAAATGGTAGAAAAAATATCGAGGTCGAGGGGAAGACAGTACTCATAAAAAAGCGAAATGGTCCCTACTACGTTGCGAATGGAGTTCGGGTGTAACTGGTCTATGGTGATATCAAAAGACCTCAGGACCTCTACAATTAGGGGGTGCAGTGGAAGACGAAGACCGGCCACGAGCTGCTCTTCGAAAATCACAATCTCGTTGTGATCATGTTCCCAAGGGAAGTTACATGAGGGGAGACTGTAGAACTCTCTCGGGAGGTTGTATCGGCGTACTAAGGCCTGAAGCCGGTCCAAGGTTATTGTCGAAGGGCCAAAGTTGTCCGGCACCCGACCTCGGTGAGAAGTGGATGCCTGACTACTCGAGGCCTCTCGAACCTCCCAGGGTGCCTATACCTCGGGAAGGCCATGGACTACCTCTAAACCCGAAGTAGCCCCATCTCGGCTACCAACCTGGGCCGAGGTACCCGCCTCGGCCTCATCTAAAAGACTATCAAAGCTAGAGGAAGACATGAAACTGGATAGAACTGAAAAGAAAACCAAAGGGAGACTCACCAAAGAGAGATGACCGGATTAGAAGGAAATGGCAAACTAGAAAACCCGAGCTAAAGAAGCTAAGCGCGACCTCAGATCGAAGACTAGTAAGCTTGTGGCAAAGGAAATGAGTCTCAGGTCCCCCTATTTATAGCTACTGTATCGAAGAAGCGACGGTTGAGATCAAAGCAATCCGATGGCTCTTAAGAAAACCGGTTGCAAGACCCTCGAGATTGAAATTGGTTTAGCGCATTTTTTGGCATCTGCAAAGCCTATAGGTCGCTTGACATCCGTGCGTGAACCGCACACGATCCATCTAACAGAGCACCTAGACTTCAAGCCAAATCCACTTGGCGTATCGTGAACTCCCCGAACGAGGTCAAGACCCCTAGCTCGAGGAGTGGGGGGCAATTGATGAAGGAGAATTTGAACTGACCTCATGACGGGGAAACACGTGGATGTGACCCCACATAAGCGACAACTCAACGTGATCAGATCAGCACATGGACGTGACTCAACATGAGTGACAACTCAGCATAAATCAGCTCGCTACAAAGCAAGCTCGGGTAAGCTGGTACCCCGAACTAAAGTCACTTCGAGCTAAGATCATCTCGGTACCAGATCGCAACAAATGAAACCAAGTTCGTTATAGGTCATGCCTGGACCGATGGATCACCTCGATCCAAGGGCACTTCGGCAATCGTGTTAGGGCAGACCTAAGGGGCACAAGCTCGAGGAGCTCGCTACTAGTCAGCTCGCCATTGAACAACTCGATATCCTACAGGCGACTCGCCTACAGTCCAGACCTCCGAATGGCAACCTCGAGGAGCACACCACAGTACTCTGTATCCTACAGGGCCATACCTCGTAACGGTCACATTAGTTCACCAACTCCCCAGTTCTGACAGGAAGGGACAGTATTACCGTTTGACGGCGTTTCGCCCACCTAACACGCAAGCAAGTCCCGTCACAGCTGGGGTCCGATAACTATTCCACCAACCCGCATGGACCCGAGTATATAAAGACTCTCCCCCCAAGGGCGAGGTACGTTCTTTTCTTATTATTGTGTGTGTAATCTTCGCTCTCTAGCTCTCTCACTGTTATCATCTTCAAGCTCTCTATTACCATTGTGCTCTAACTTAGCCATCGGAGTATCCTCGCCGGGTGAGCCACCCCGGGATCTCTGACTCCTCTCTTTTAGGAACCCAGTTCTCATCGTTGCTGGCAGCCAGATCATATCCAGCAGGGAACTGCCGGATTACGCCACATCAATATTCTTAGGTGTTTGTATTCTCATTACATTTTCATGAATTCTAGACCCTTAATATAGAAAGTTTCCTGTCAAAACTTTTTAAATTGCTTAGTTTTGTCTGGCAATAAACTATAAGTTTGAAAGATTCACCTGGGTGGTCTTGTGGAATATGGATCTAATTAATCGTATACTGCATTATACAATTTAAATCTCAACTCTCCCTGTAAGCTGTAAGAGATTGAACAAAGAGGGCATAGAAAATATACATGAAGTATATAAAAGTGTTTTCTTTTATTTATATCAAATTCAAACAGAATCAACATCTACAAACAATGCAATCTCATACATGGAATTTCTCCATGTGCATTAATTCTTTTAACAACAAATCCAATCACACACACCATTTCACAACAAATTAAATAGAAAAGAAACAACAAATATTAACACCACAGTCTCCACCCAAACGCAAATCAACCCTCAAATTGATCTCTTTATGGTCTTATGGTTGATGCTCCATGAATGGCGAGAATGTATAGAAACTGCGTGGCTGAAAGAATGATCAAGAATGCTTCCATTGTTCTCTGCAACACCCAAAGATGCCCATATGTCATGCTTCCATTCAAAACCAGAAACTGATGAAATCTTATGACTATAGCTGTGTAGTAAGTAGTTAAACAAGCAGAATTTTAAGCTGTTGACATCCTTACCAGACGTGCATTCCTGAAGCCTCTCTCAATCTCTTTACAGGCCAAACTGCACATACAAGAAAAGGAAATTAAACTTGTGAAAAATAAGTCAACAATTGCCTTGTGCTGACCGACTTGTTGATGTTTTAATTTGCTTATGAAAAAGCTTGGAAAGAATTTCAGGTATATGAGACATTGATGAAATTGAAAAGGAGATAGTAAATTGACTGAAAACAGCTCACCCCATGGCAAGGAGAATTAGGGTCCAAGCAATAATAGCCACTGAAGCTGCAGATGGTAAGCTGTTCACATTCCATGACCTGATGTGGTTCAATCCAGCAATGGCGGATGCTCCTCCCACGACACCGGCAATCACTGCAAACAGCACAAAGAATCCGGTGGCAGCATTCCCCATCGGAAAGTAGATGGGCGAAAAATGAGCAGGAAGCTCAAGTGATGGGCCTGCAAGTCTTCCAGAATTCATTAGTATGGACTAATTGAAGGAATTGGGTTATGGTTTTAGATTAATAACTAAGTAAGGATGTGAATGTGACTCCATGAACAAGATGGAGCATGCCAGATTGAGGATTAATTATTTGTCCATCAGGCTCGAGCCATCCCAAATGAGAGTAGCCCAAGCCTAGGCAGACACATAGAGAGTCTGGAATGGTTGATGGCTTACCAATTACGAAGCCATGATCAATGGCTCGGTTGATGGCCCATCCTCCTATTGATGCCACAATCACACACATGCAGAAATTGAGTAGCAGAAGTCCAGTTGCGAGGGGTTTCAACCCTTCACCAGCCATTCTTAGAAGGAATGAGAGAAGTTCAAAGAAGAAATAAGGGCTGTAGAATTAATCCTCCCCTCAAAGAACCAAATGCAAGAAAGAGAGCTTGACCGAAGCACAGAGAGAAGAGCTTAAGCCATGGAGTTTTTATAGATGGAATTGCTAAGAAGTTTTTGGTTCTTTTCTTGCAAAGCTGAGTATGGATTCCAAAGGGTTTTGTGTAAGGTTGTAAAGATGATGCCTTGAAGTTCAAGGCAAGGAGCAGAAACTGATGCTTACTTGGTTCTCATTTTTATCCATTTTTTTGTCTATAGTATCCTTCATCTGTGTCTTTTGCTTTCTGTTTCATTCCTTCCCCCAATGAAGAAGATGCAATATTTTATAAATTGAACTTTATACCTTCAACTTTTTTTTCTACAAGCATGAAACTGTCTTGCTAGCTTCTGTAATCAAATTTAATCTCTTTTGGGTAAATTTTATTCCTGGGGCTTCCTCTATTCATAGTTAAATCAAACCGTTAAGTTGATGTGTCATCATCTCATGGTTTGGGCTTGCTGAAAGTCATAGAATCCAATTTAATGTCACTTTTAACTGGTGTTCCAGGGTAAAGGTATTCTGAGACAACACAGGCTCAGTCTTCTTTTGCTTTACGCTTTAGAGAAATTTTGGGTTTTCTTGCTTTATCTCTATCTCTGTACACTAAAGATCAATCTTACCCAAATAAAATAAAAAAGAAATCCAGAAATGATCGACAAAATAATAAGAAAAAAAAATATATCATCAATATAACTAAGCAACAAAACATTGTTCAATCAGATTTTGATTTTTTTAATTAAATTTTGAGACCCACATTCCACAAGATCTAATCAGAGCATGTATTCCCTTTAGCCATCAAAGTTTTCCCCTCTTTAGCTTTTAGTGGAGCATTCAGATTATCAGGACACCTAATACTCAAAAATGTTTCACTGAAGAGATTAATAGGAAGCGGAACAAGCTTCAAGAGTCCTAACAACTACTAGGGTTGCAACTTGGGGGCCCGGCCCATGTATAAATATTTACCTAATTTATATTATTTTCAATCCTAATTTAGGATTTAAAGCCCAAATGTCAAAAAATATAGGGATGGAAGCTTTGCCATCCTCACAATTTCATAATTTGACCTTATCTAGTTCATGTCAAGGAATCGTTTGACCCATGGTTTTTAAAACCGAACCGGTCACCGGTCAGGGGTCTGGTTACCATGTCAAATGGTCCAATCGTTCGAACCGAATGGTCAGTCTGTTCTGACAAAAAAAATTAAAAAAATAAAAAACAATCAAAACCGTTGAAAGGGTTAACTGCCCGGGTCAGTGGTTTGTTGACCAAAATCAATAGTTTTGGGGGAAAAGGTGACCGATTTTTCTGGTCTGACCGTCTGATCTGGTTTTGAAAACTATGGTTCAACCTAAAAGCTTAAACTGTTAGATGAGGTCCTTAGTTAGGTTATTATTCTCCAACATGCCTTCTGGCATGAAAGCCTATTGGGCTTGAAGCATGGACAAGCATAGATCCACCCATACCTTGTACAGAAATTTAATATGGAGGTGATGAAGATTAACGCTAGATCACTTGGTCAAACAAACTGTTGATAGCTTAAGTTGTTAGGTAAGATCCCAAACGGTCAAGCCATATAAAATCCAGGTTGATTCCTAACTTACCCTCAAAAGCCATTTGCCATGCCACATTATTCCATGTGGACGAATCATAACCTTCAGTTTTGATTTGAGGCTTTTAACTTGCTAGTTGTCTCATATCTAGAGGATCAGGGCCCATTATTTAAGAGAATGTCTCTGCCCAAAAGTGGGAGCCATATGATACCTCTTAGAAATCTAATTCATGTATAGTGCATTTGAAGATTTCTAAGAGATACTTTTCACTGTTCAATTAGTAGGGCTGTCAATAGGTTAGGTCCAATCCGACGAACTCAAACCGATTGGGCTGGTTCTAGTTCTGGGTCATAATTATTATCAGTTCGGAACTGGTTTCATCTATTCTCAAACCGATTCAGATCCAATTCGATATATATATATATATATATATATATTAAACATATATGTTTATTTCTTATTTACTATAATCAAGTCTGTTGGGTCATACCCGATGTTCTCTATCGGGTCCGGGCCTGGGTACTCAACATTTCATGTTGGATCGCTTCCGGCTCCAGCTAGTTCCAGCCCAAACCTGACCCATTGACAGCCCTACCAATTAACAACATATTTGAAGCTATTATTTTAGGCCACCCAAGGAGTGTTCTCCAATGAGAATTATTTTTCTCATTGCAGAGTTTCTAAAACAAAACAAACTCATCTGGTCTGAAAACAAAAGCACAGAAAGCATGTTCTTGTCTTTTTCTACCAAAACCCAAAACAAAAATGGGTTTTTGAATTTTTGGTTTAAAGAGCATGTTTTTATCTGTTTATTTAATATCATGTTTCATAAATCATATAGTTTTCATGTTATAAAATTTGTTCCTATTTTAACAAAATATCAGTTCAAGAAAATGATGTTGTTGAACATCCCCTTAGGTGGTGCTTGCCAACATGGTAATTTTCTTTTCTTAAGGTATATAAGTTTCTCTCAAAAAATGGGTTCTATGTAATTAATGCATTTTTTTTCTGATATGAAAACAGTGAAAACCTGTTCTTCTTTACTGTATTTTCAATTTCAGGAATGAATCATAATGGCAAACATATTTTTACATTTTGTAGCAGAAACTTTTGTTGCCTAGAAGAAAAGAAACAACTGCAGTGGAAATTACCTCTGCTTTGCAATTTGTTTTTATGATGGTTCCTGATCCTCCAATGTACAAATTCCTTCGCTGCATTTGGAATCAGTGTAAAACATCATCAGTATAAAAATACATTGACGATGTTTTTCACTGATTCAGAAAATGACCGTTGCTTTTTTGAAAATAGTGATAGATGGAAGAGTGTAAAGTTTTACATCGATAAAATCGATATAGTTTTTTTTTACATCGATTATTGATGTAAAACTTTAGAGTTGATAAGGTTTTACATTGATTGTCGACATAAAACTACTCTCCATCCAAATGCATGCAAAACTGAACCGGATTATAACTTTACATCGATAATAATTGCACATTTCCAAATGCATACAAATTCTTGATTTACATCACATCCAAATGCAGCCTTATAAATTTTTCCCTCAACTTCTGTCCCTCTCTTATTTTCTACCCAACCAAACACAGCATAAAGGATAGAAAGGAAAGTTGTATCCACCACATAAAGACAATCATGCCTTTCCCTTCGTCATGTAATGTATTTTTAAAATATAATGGCCATATTTGCCTTGGCTTCACGTCCAAATCACCATGCAAAAACACAAAAAAAGTTAAAAACAAAATCAAGTCATTTACCCTTTCTCACTCTGCTCTTCTCTTTCTTCCTATAGAAATGCATGTGCCTCTCAACTAGTAAAAGGATGGGGTGTGAATATTTTCAGTTGGCGAGTCAAAAGAAAGTACTCTTAGCCTTTCAGTCCTTTCTTTTCTCCTCCCTTTATTCCTTACACTTGAAAATCCAAATCGCCTACTTATAAGATTTGTTCATTGACCGCGTTTCGGACTCGGCCCATAAACATTTTGCATTGTTTGGGTCTCAGATTTTGGATCAGGCCATCATTCAAATTTTGGCCAAAGATAATTTCGAGTCTGGCCCCGGGCCCATGAATGACACAGAATGGTGAAGGTTCTCTTCTCGACATGACATGAGTTGTCTGCATGTTGTTGTTTCTATAAGAGAGAGAGAGAGAGTTTGGAATAAGCAAAATTTAACCTGCTCTGTCCCACCCCACCGACTGTGCCTCTCAAGTCTCAACTCTCACCCATTATGACAGCAGATTGGGTTTCACATGCCTATGAAGTGTGATGAGGGCATATTTGGCCCTCCAATGACATTATGACACCTAGCACCTCATGTCAACTAAGTGCATCCTCTTGACAACTAGACAGCTCGAGCTCGCCATAGGCAGTTCGCCACAAGCAGCTCATCATAGGCAGTTCGCCACAAGCATTTCGCCACCCGGCAGCTCGACACAGATAGCTTGCCACCAGGTAACTTTCTACAGGGTAGTTTGTTGTCAGGTAACCCGGTGCCTCGTGAGAAGCTTCCTGCCTGACAGGACCGTACTTGCCAACCTTGAAGACTGCACCTGCGTCCCTTGTCTGGTGGCGCAGTATCTGCCCACTCTGAGGACTGCACTCATGTCTCTCGCCTGGCGGCGGCGTGCCTACCAACCCCAGAGGTTGTCTCCTGCCTAGCGAGACCGTACTCTACAATGGCCGCATTAGCCCACCTACTCCCCAGTTCTGACAACGATAGCCAATCACTCCGAGTCGTTATCTGACAGCATATCGCCGCGACAAAGATTTGGGAGCAACACCTCCGAACCTGCCAAAATATTATTATAGAAAGACTTTAACCCCCCAGGGGCCAAGGTATCGCATGTTCACCACTCTCTAGCTTTCTCATCTTCTTGCAAACTTATTCTCTTCCAGCTCGTAGCTGAGTACTAACTTAAGCATCGGAGTGTTCTTGTCGGATGAGCAACCCCAGGTTCATTTCTCTTTACGTGGGAATCTCTTGCCCGTCGCCAGCTAGGAGCTCAGTCACTTCCAGCTAGGGGTGGCCGGATTGCGCATCATCAATTGGCGCCGTCTGTGGGAACCGTTTCAAAAAGCTTTCTCTACCCAACTTTCACAAGAATTAATGGCGTCTTCTAGCAACGTCGGGAAAAACAATGGAACAAACACTTCTGGGGGGCACCTTCAGGCTCCTGCCGTGCGTATCAGCCAGTTTACTATACCCCTCAGCACCTTCGGAGTCCCCACGCTGGACCTACCGCAGGTCGCCAAGGCGGTGAACACCACCTTCACTAAACCCTCCATGGTTCCTCTCGCCGTGGGGCAAAACCAGTTGTGTGACCTAGTGCAGTGCGTGTGGGCCATTCAAACCCAGATGCAGCAAGTCCAGCAGCTTCATCACTACCAACAATAAGTCCTGTGTCGTTTCTACCAGCAGCAGTTCCCAACGCTGCAGCAAAGCCGATAACCAGCCCAGTTGCGGTGCCCAATAA